TGACGACCCGCGTTGTGTAACTCGAGTGCATCGTGAGATTTTGCGTATGCTGCATCCTACTTTCTGAATTGTCATTAGCCACGCTGCTACGTTTGTATGGAGTTAAACTACTTGTCTTATTGTACTATGGTAATATCATCAAATAGGTAAAAAATAGTTTTTAAAACATTTTGTTTGCCACTTCGCCGATCACCTGGTTGATCAAATTATATCATCAATCTTGCCCGTATCGTAACTCTATAATCTTCAAATTTATACATTACAATGTGTATAATAAATAATAATAAATATTAGACAACGTCACATACGTTGCTCTGATAACAAAGTAAGTCGCTAAAGAACTTGTGTTATGGAAATCGGAAACAATGAACGGTACCACAAACACCCAGACCCGAAGCAATATAGAAAAGTCCGTTTCTATAACTTTAGGAATCGAGCCCGGGGATCGAACCCGGGACCTCAGAAATGGCGACACCATGAAAACCGGTGTGCAAGCCACTCGACTACGGAGGCCGTATATACATACATATAGATAGTTATTTAATATGAACAGATAAAGCATTTTACCTCTGGCAGTGGTGTTTACGTTAGGATCAATATGATATCCTCCAATCGGTTTATAATTCTGCGGCAAACGCGTTGACCTCCCGAGAGAAACGTGCGAGTTGCCAAGCATTAAAAAAGCGTTGTATTTGACCTCGCCGAATGACGGTAAGGGTTTACCTTTCCTCGCCATGATTGGACCAAAAATGTTTTCATAGTCTTGTGTTTGTGCCGGAAATATATAGCTGTAATTTTTTTGCAATTATATGCTATACTAAAAAGTAAGTTTATTTGAAGGTATCAAACCACAGTTTCGTATAATTTTTGCTCTTGGAACTTACGTGTAGGTGCAAGAAATAATTCTAATTTAATGAAGGGGACTTTAGCTAAATTAATATCATTGCTTAACATCCACCAATTTGAAAATGAAAAAAGTTTGACATACAAGTTTCTAAACAACAAGATGAAAATGAGACTGAACAGCTCTTGTACTCGTTGTTAAAACGTAAACGGAGGTATGTTGTGAGATATATCGTCGATGAGACTAAAAACTATCCAATGAGGGTCCATTGACGAGAACCATATGAATGGACATTCGTAAAATGCCGATAACCTGGACAAATGAGGAAAATAAAATTTGAACGAAGAAGAGCATTACCAGCAGGTCTGAAAATTGGTATGAAGAAGTGCTTGTTTGTTTCGTGAGACGAGTAAAAGCTTTCATAAATCATTATTAACCTGCTCCTAGCCATTTAAAAAGCTGTGCGAACAAAATTTATTAAAATTTTGAAAACTTTAAATTTACGTTAACATCATGATGATAAAAAATGAAAGGCATTCAAGTTAGATTAGGGTTTTTGCCTTTTTACCGGATCATTATAAAATTAATTTATTTTTTAATGAATCTCCTGATAAAGACGTAATTAACAATTTTAAGGAAAAAAAGTTATTTGCTTAGTGCGACTCAGAATTATGACGTGAATTAATTTTTAAAATTTAACTTCGTAATCAGTGTTGTAAAGAACGATATCAGATATTTTGTCAACGTACCCTGCGTATGTTTCGATAAACATCCATTCAATTAAGATCGAGGCGAATTTCTGGCTGTTGTCATTTATTAAGTTTTGTACATACATTATCATTACTGAACGTCCATTTGGTTATATTAATCAATATAGGTAAGAACTTTATGAAGCCGTTCTTTGAAACTTCTTTGCTCATAATTGCTACTAAATTGACCATGTTAGCTGAAGAAGATGTTACGTCAAATATGGAATACAAAAGATTTTGTTAGTCGCCGCCACACTAATAATAAGAATTTTTAATAAGATTCACACTACTTTCGGACACCTGTTCAATTGATATTTGCAATGAAAAACAGTTGTTCATGTTTCAAAACAACTATTAATGGCAATAACCACGCAATCACCCACTAACCGCACGGACTTCTGGACTATCCATTATTAATTAATACTCCAGTATTCATTAATAATGGATTGTCCAAAAGATGGATGGATGGTTAGTTAATACTGGATTAAACATACACGAGTTCTACAATACGCCTGCTTGAAAGCTTCAAAAAATATCAAATTATAAAATTGGTAATAGCTACAGATACAGACATTGACTTTTTTAAAACCCAATTTAAAACTCTATTTTAACATAATATTGTAGGTACAGTTTATTTGTAAGTCAATGGTACAGTACATCTTTTTACAACGTGCACAACACTAGCAACGACCAAACGATACAATCTTACTCAAACGTTTCGATTTTTGGTTTTCAACGTGCAACTTTTGTAAGAAAATCATACAGTCAAGAGCAAGAGGTATTGCACACTTTGGAATGTGTACCGTTCTTAACACGCACGGCATAGAGTTGAATATAACATGCCAAGCTTGCTTTTGTCTGTACCTGCTATTGCTTTACAAATACTATATATAGATAGCACTTATGTTGTCAGATATCCCGTATAGCGCCATCTGTTCGAAGACTAATGAAGTGACAGAGAACTACATCCATTGGTGAAGTTCCAGAATTGGGACACCACCTACAAGAGCGCTTTCGTCTAACGAATGTTACTCGATTCAATTATTTATTTTTAAATGTAAATACCATAATGTTGAAGTTTGTGTATTTAAATGGTATGCACTTTGTAAAAGAAATAAATAATTTTATGCAATAAATGTCGGTGGAAACATTTTAGTGACATCTACCTCCAAGTTCCGCAACGTCCAAGTATAGAACAACTATGATCGAGCTGAGTTAACGATAAATTATACCCCTAGTGGGCCCCACAACACCACATTTTGTTCTTCTTGCTTGACAAGAAAGAAAATAACAACCTTATTAATTTGTTAATTAGGTTGTTGAAAAATTACGTTCAAAGTACAATTTTACATTAATAAGTGACTAAATTGAATTAACGTGTTGTATGAACACAAATTGTAAACGATACTTCGGCTTATCACAAAAATGGCCGGTCTCCTTGCTATCAGGAATATGAAGTCAGCCGAGGTTGACCTCGACCCGTTTCCTGCGTATGCACACTGCTTACACAAGCGTCAAACTGAACCAATCGCCCATGTGAAACCCGAGTTAGTCATATTGATACTTTCTGCCACATGCTGTGGTTCTGCCATATGCCACATCGATCGCTCGTAATCAAAAACATTTTAAATAGAATAAAAAAATAAAGGTTTGTGTATTTGAACAATACTTACCTAGTTGGTGTCTTAAAGAAGTGTAGTGTAGCAAAAATTTAATAAAAATTGCAAATATAAAAATAAGAAAGTTAATCCTGACAAAGATAAGTGGATCTAATGTACTGAGTCAAAAGCGCGATTTAAATTGAACTCTATAGGCTAGCGATAAGAACGGTCTAAAGAGTCAAACTTGATGCTCACTTAACTGTACTTATCCATATTGTAACTGTAACCCCAATGGAAAGGGAAATAACCACAGACTTGTCATCCTAAGTCTGGAAACACACCTATATAGTGAATTTGCAATATTAAAAATTAGGTTTATTAAGTTATTGATTTTAAAAACAAGTTCCATGTTTTAGTTGCTAGTTATTTAATGAGTAAATACTAATTTAAATACATAAAAAACAATATACAGAATAATTATTGCGCTTATCCTATTGGATTGTTAAATGTCTTTATATCCTCTTAGATCGTAATGTATTATAGTGTGCGGCCAGACAGTCTATGTTGGCTGAGAAGCCATGACTAGATCTTCAAATGTATCAAAATACCAATGTTGATTAAAAGGAAATTAAAATAAGTGCATAGTACCCACCTAAGCTACACATGTAGATATTTCCAGGTAACAAATCTGTCCATAAACACCGACGAGAGGAGTGGGAGGAAGGGCGACGTAGGAATTTACGTTTATGGAAACATCAGCGCAAACCGGACTGAATGTCGGAGCTGCCTTCGCCCATGTGGCAACTTGGCAAGGCGAGTGCTCGCGAAAGCGAATCACGCACGCCTCGACCCCGCCAGGCTTGCCTTGCGCGCGCATCCAACACGAGAACAAAGGTCTCCTCTCCAAATAGGAATATACTCGCGATACATGGGGTTTTCGCGGTGGCGATGAATGATTCGAACAAGAGAAAGATTCCAATGGAGATAACAAACTGACATTTCAAAATAAATTAACTAATTATATCTCTTTACTTATTTATTTTAGTAAATTACGAGACCCCGACCTTAGCTTAGTAAGGTACTAGCGTAGCAGTTAGCAGTACAATAATAACGGCAGACAATACTGAAAACTTCGTTCAAAATTCCCGCTTATTCTTAAGTTGTCAGTATGTTTAAATTTACCGCCAATGGTACGACAGCTATCTAGAAAGAGAAGGCCTATGTTTTCCAGGGGTCGGAAACAAGTGGATGTGTTTTTACTGTTGGGATTGTTAGATTGAATGAATACTTACCAATGTCATTTCATAATCTGGAAATTCACAATATACCAAAATATAACTCCAGAATTACGATTTTCGACAACCTATTGCGCTAGAAGCTTTTTCAAGAGCTTTTAATAAACAATAATTCCATGGTAGCAAGTGAAATTGTTTTCTAAAATAAAGTGATATAAGTTAAGGAAGAAAAGTGCACTAACCATTGTCCGCACACAAACTGACGCACATATCGAATACTCGTGACTAAACAATTTTAGGCTTTAAAAGACGGTTATTGAATGTACCCCGGGTACCTCATCTGGCAAAATGATACATCCAATAAACAATAAACGCACATTTTATACTTATTAGTCTTTCAAGAGTCAAGAAATTAAAATTAAATTTGCAGATGTATTGAACTTTTTTTAAGTCGATTACTAAAAATTGCATAGAATGTTCGTGATCTCTGCTATTTATCGTTGTTCTGTTTGTTATGTTGGTTACCCTGCGTTCAGTTTACGCGCACATGCGCAGAACGACAGGTGGTCGGCGACTCGACCCTGCCGTTCCGACCAAACCTATCGACTTCTCATGCTCATCATCAGCCGCTTTCGTGCTTAGGCCAGAACGATGTGTAGTGCTTTGTGTTGAAGTGCTCGTGGTGACATGGCGTCCTTTTTTTAATCGTTGTGGATAGTGATTTCAGCTCGTGAATATTGTTTATTTACGATGAGTGTGAATTATGATCGTGTTTGTAGACTGTGCTTGTCATCTCGAGGCGAATTACTGCCGATTTTTCCTACCACCAGTTCGGATGACACGGAGCCTCCCATCCTAGCTTCGAAAATCAAGGATTGTGTGTCTGTACAAGTAAGTAATACGTAAAATAAGTGATAGTATGAAGTTTTGAGTGAAAGTAGACTCTTGGTGTACGTGAGAACTCGTCATCCGCCCCGGTTCGAGCAATGTCATGCAGCGCTCGTTTAGGTGGAGATGTCGTAAGATCGGCCACCATTTTGTATTGCTCCACGGCTATCGCTCGGCTCGTGGCCGCGGCGCGTCACATTTCGTGCAGCCGGCGAGGAATGGCATGAGGTTCGGTTCGGGTTTGGCATTTTTCCCGGGGGTCTGGACGGGAGGGGGTCTGCGTCCCGTAGGTAAGTTTCGCGTTGGACATCGGGCGTATTGATTTATCGGACGAGACCAGGCCGGTGCAGCTCGTCCCTCGAGCGGGACAGGCGTCGGTGTCGGCGTGAGTGCGCTATACTTGTGTGCGTATATTGAGCGGTAACCCTCGAGGGGCTCGCTGTCGCTGGCTGCCTCTCGACTCGCTTCTACTTATTCGGTCGAGGAGCAGCCGGTCGCCGCCGCGACTCGTATATACCTACGCCTACCTACTTAGTTTCTCCTCGCGTATCTATCTATATGTGAGGCGCGGTTTCGCCTCGTTCGTTCTGATGAAATGCGCGCATCTTTTGACCTTCGTGTACTGATCGCGTGTGGTTATTTTTTCAGATAAATGAAAATGACGAACTACCAACTAATGTCTGCAGAAAGTGCATGGACAATGTCAACAATTGGCACATATTTAAGTCAGTATGTGAAAGGACACAAAACAAACTACAGTCTCTGTTTAATAAGGATGGCAGCCAACTAGAAGAGGTGGGTTAGATTTCTGGATGGTTTTATCTTGGAACTGTCAATTTGTGATTCTATTTTATAAATGGCATCATGTTTTTTCAGGTGCATGTTAAAAGTGAACCTTTCTCTGATGAAGCCTATGATGATGGAGTGGTCATTGATGGGTCATACCCTGAAGCAGAGGTATGTATTAGTCAGAGGACTGATAAACAGGGAGATAATTATTTATCAGCATTTTCCAAGTGTTGTGTGCCTGGATGGTATCTTCATGAGGATAGTTAATCAATAACACATCCACTTATAAAATGTTAGGTATTTTGTGTCAAGGACAAATAAGTGTTTGCTACACTATTGTGGAACTCCGAATTGATAAGGTTCATGCTACTTGTGGTGTAAATAACATTAACCAGGAAAACTGTGCTCATATTTCTTCTATAATGTAACTGTTTTCTTATAATATTCTGGTCTGCTAGCCATTGAAGGTAAATAACTTTGAGGTCAAGATACATGTGATCTCGGATAATTCTTATCAATTTGTTCATTACCATTAGTGCTTTTGTGAGCATGTAGAGTTTAACTTCTCTTTACTACTATAATTGTATATAATGTGATCACATAATTCATATATTTTCAGAATGCTGCCACTTCAAGTAAAGTACAGCCAGAAGGCCCACCAATCTTGGCTTCATTGGGGCTCACACCGAGGAGTGATAAGGTAAAGATTATAGACTTTTTGTCTTATCTTCTACCAATATGGCTGCATTGCTGTTATACAGCGCCACCTAGATAATAATTGAAATTTCTTTATTATATTTTTTATTTTGTGATAGTGAAAGGGTACAGTAGGCCAACAATTAATTTTTTTTATTTTTATTGGTTTGTTGTGAAGTGTGAGCATGGGAATAGTTCAATTTAATTAATTTCGTCCACAGAAATATGTAGATCCTCGAATGGACAGGCAACGGGTCCATGCAATATTAGACATGGTTCAAGATGATGAAATGATTAATAGCCTACAAAATACTGAAGAGTCAGATGTACTGCATCATTCAGAACATGACTCGGAATCGGAGGCAGATCTTGTGTCTGATGCGGAAGACTTAGATTATTCAGACTCTAAAAATGAATATATTTCTAAGAACAAAAAATTTTTTTCTACAAACCCTAATATAGCGCCAGTTTCGACTTTAACTCAAATCAAGGAGGCCGTGAAACGTAGGAAACCTGTTCATTCACTAAGTGCATGGCAAATGCTGTTATCTGATGACCTGTTAAATATTATTGTCAATTCCACAAATGATAATATCTCTCAAAATGAAAATGATGGCCCTGCCACTACCCTTACGGAAATAAAAACACTTATTGGTATTCTGTATTTGCATGGCATAATGAGGCCAACACATCCAAAATGCGCTGACCTTTGGCATAATGATTATGGAATTATCTGCATCAAAAATGCAATGGAATATGACAGATTTCGGTTTCTTTTAGAAAACTTAAGCTTTTTTAATAAGAGAGATGAGGATTCAGTTTTACAATTTGATATCATGAAACGAATTCGGAAATTTTTTGAGATGTTTGCAATGAATTGCCGGACATCATATGATATTGGAAATGTTGTAGCTGTTGATGAGATTGTTTTGCCAATTCCTGGGCCTTGTCCTTTTAGATATGACATTAAGAACAAGACTATACAAATGGGCATAAAGATGGTTTTGCTTGTTGATGCTTCGAATATGTATGTGAGTAACATGGATGTGATTACAGATCCCAATATTGGAGCTGAGTACATAGTAAAAAAAATAGTTGAACATTTATCGGGCTCTGGAAAGATCATCATTATGGATAGCTGGTACACATCAATACCACTTATTGAAAAACTTAAAAATGAAAACCATTTATTCAGTATTGCAGCTCTTAAACCAACTGATGAATCAATTCCAGTATCATTTCTTTCAAAATCTAGAAAAATTAATTCTTTGATGACAGGATTTATGGACAATGGTATTACCATCACCTCATACATTAATACAGAATCAAAGGCTGTCAATGTTTTAACAAATGACCCTAGATATTACAAGAAAGCGGCGGCGGCGGCGTACCATACCTCAGCCGTCGCAACCTATGAAAAGAATCAATCAATAGTTGAAGTTATTGACATTCTCATGCATTACTATACAACAATGCAAAACACGAATGACTGGACTTTATCCTTGTTCTTTACTTTACTCAACATTGCGTCTGTCAATGCTCAAGTTATATGTTTATCGCAGGCTACGACTGGGGTAGTTCAGAGGCGCTTTTTTTTGAAAGATTTGGCTATCCGTCTTTTAAGCAATGAACAGAATAGACATAGTCTTTTTACGAAAGTCGCCACGAGGTCAATAAAAAAACCACGTGTATCGGCCACGCAATGTCTTATACCTAATTCAAGGTCTCGAAGAAAATGTCCTCACTGCTGGCAGAATAGAGTAGACAGGAAAACGAGGCAAAATTGCCAAAAATGCGGCTTGGCAACATGCAAAGAACACGCTGTCTTGATTTGTGTTTTGTGTACTTAAAGTTACAAAATACTAAGCTTTTTGTTATTGTGCAATTTATTTTAGTTTGAATTTGAAATAATTATGTTCACTATTTTGTTTAGAAATTAAATTCACAATAAGTTGTTGGACTATAATGTTTCTCTGTACAATTTTTCTACATATAATATTGTTCATGTATGTTATGAAATAACAATTTTGTTAAGTAGTAAATAGAATAACTGTCTTTGATTATCTTTACAAAATCTGAGAAGTAGTTCAGTAGTGGAGTCTTCTCGAAACTGGGGACACAATTTTGACTTATATAATCATATACTTGATTTCCTCCTTAAGTGCACAAAAAAATTTAAATATGAAATTCCATACACAGTGTCATGCCCCGTAGCCACGCCTCCCTATTTTTTTTATTATGATATTACCTACTAAAGTATGGCTGACGTACATAACAAAAAATACATACATGATTTACACGTATTTTTTGTGAATGACTACAAATAGTTAAAAAAAACGAGACTGAAGGCGAATAAAAATTAATATGAAGAAGTTTCGTTTGACAATTGAAATTTAGCAGAATTAACTTACATTTCGCCTATTATATGTACATAATACATGGCGTTTGTACACTGACTAAATTCGGAAAAATAGCTAAAATTGCATCTACAATTATTAATAATTGGTGGCGTGGCTACAGAGAATTCTTCGTAGCAACGCCACCTTTATAGTTTTTGTCTTTTGTACTAATAGTAGTACATTCACAAAAAATACATGTGCATCATATACGTCAGCCGTACATTACAGTGGGCTGCAGTATAGCGTGGCTACAAACCATGACACCAAACACCACTTAATTGACGAATAAGGAACATTGACTGGCAAAAAATAACCTGTCAGGTAATTAATACAATGAAATGTTTTTGTTTCTATTCTGTTTTCTCTTTCGTTTATAAACAAAGTCATATTCTATCTTTTAAAAATACTTTAATATTTTCTTTATTGTCGTTTATAAACTTCCAGGGCGCGGAGAGTGAGAAAGATGAAGACGATGAGGAAGATGAAGAAGAAGAGGAAATGAACGAGCCTGCTCAAATCTTCGCGAAGGTTCCCAACATGCCTGAAGTTTCCATCACCGTGATGCGGCCTACGGGAGAAACCCTGCAGTCTCGACAAGGCATCCAGCAGCTAGCATCCAAAGATTGTTTGGTTTGTGGACGCTCCTATAGATATTCCCATAATGCTAGACGGCACGAGCTAACTGCTCATAGCTTTGACAGATACACCAACAAAGTAACAACGAACAAAAAGTCCCATTCGCAAATGCAACCAAAACTGAGACCTAACCCTTTCAATCCTAAAGCTCGGTTGATGCCAAACCCCATCAGTCACAAAATGCAACTTATTCCAAAAGGCATATCTGCTAAAATTATGCCTCAAAAAATTGTAGCGCCACCAAAACCTATACCTATAAAGCCATCAAAGGGACCGCAGAACAATCTGCCTTATCCACTTCGCATTAAGGCTCTTAAAGATCTACAAATTAAGAAAAAAGAGCCACAAATTTTGAAAACTTTGCTAACTACAAAACCTGAAGTCTTAGTATCTGAACCTGAAATTTTGAACTCTGCTCCAGAAAGCCCAGAAACTTTGATTTCTGAACCAGAGATAGCTTCATTCCAAGTTGAAACTATACTGTCTGAACCAGATGGATACGATCAGAACAATGGAGATGAGATGGACGGAGAAGACCTTGACAATCAAAATCCAGCTTATGACACAGTAGATATGGAGTCTGACAATGAAATAGAGATTGCTCAACAAAAGGACGACGTTCATCAATATGCTAATGATCATGATATGGAAGAAGAAAACGCTGATAACGATGGTGAGAATAACGTTGACGACAGTCATGAAAATCCGCAAGACGATGACAAGGAAGGTCAAGTTGACGGTGTTGAAGCTAAAACTGAAGAAGATAACAAAGTTGACGAATATGCCAATGAAGGTGACCACGACAGTCATGAGAATCAAGAAGAAAATGAGGATGAAGGAGACGAAGAGCTACCGCCAATGGAAATAGCGCCTGTGGTCGAAATTAATGAAGATATGCACAACACCAATTCATACAACAGCGAGCCGAATGAAGAGGAGGAAGAAGAACTTGAAGATACAGCAGACAATAACGATACTGTAGATAGTGTAGAACAAAAGGAACTCGATCCTAACAAGCTGTATGTAACGAAAACCCAAAGAGATTTCATATTAAAATATAGGGACATAATTGAACAGATAAATACAAAATGTTGTTTGTGTTGCAAGAGAGAACATCCTCGCAGAAAAGCCGTAATTCAGCACTTGCAAAAGAATGGACATAAAGTACCCAAACACACTTGTTACAACTGTGTTGTAACTTTCACTCATATTGGGGCTCTACTTAGCCACATGAGATCCAATACTTGCACAGATTTGTGGAAAATCATTTATAACGAAGGAGGCATTACTGATGACGTGGTAATTGATGATCCCAAAAAAGTTCAGTACAAAGATATATTCAATGCCAGATCTTATGCTTGTAAGCTGTGTCCAGCTAAGTTTCAATTGAAACAGTTTATAATGAAACATGTATTGGATGTTCATGAAGATGGCCAGTCTATGGTGCCTCTTTCATGTGTGCATTGTGGAAGTAGATTCAAAGACAGACAGACGTGGAAGAAACACATACGTAATGGCGAATGCACGGTGTATATCGCTTGTGATCTTTGCTCTGAAAAGTTCATTAATATGCAAGATTTTAATGATCATGCTTTGGCTACTCATGCCGGAAGCTTTGAAGCAAACAATCAAAGTAAGTGCGTTGACGGACGACCAACAGATTGCCCATTATGTGACAAGAAACTTAACTCATATCAACACCTGATAAAACATTTGAAGTTCGCTCATAATGAAGATAAACCTCACTTTTGTAGGCATTGTGATGCAAAGTTCGAAGCTACGGCAGATCTTGACCAGCACATTTACACTGAGCATTCTGATAAATCTCTGGGTAACCGGAGTATGGAGCCCGACATGTCACTGGTGAAAGAGGAAGCAGAAGAATATCATTACTCATGCACTGAATGTAATGCCATTTTTGAAACTGTTGACGCTTGGACTGATCACCAAGTAGCTGAACATAATCAAGTAGCACATCATTGCGACCAGTGCGAAAAGAAGTTCTTGAGACCATCTGAACTTGCTGAACATAAAAATACACATCTTCGTGTCAAGTTTTATCCATGCAGTGTCTGTGCTAATTCTTACAGTACACCACAAAAATTGTCAGACCATGTGCAACAAGCACATCCTGGCGCAGGAGCTTATACGCCTGCCGAATCTGAATTTTATTGTGACATTTGCATCAGGTCATTCAAGAGTCGCCAAGCATATTCCAACCACATGCGTATTCATGCCAAAGTACCCACCACCAACAGAAAGCCGGGAGAGCCAAAAAGTTTCGCTCCTCAAATTATTGGAAAGCCAATCAAACAGTTTAATATTGCACAGCAAGGTGTTGTTTTCAAGCCAAATTGTAATGTTCCTAATGCTCCGTACTCATGTGATATTTGCGGTAAAGGGTTCATGCATAAGAAGAACATATGGAAGCACAAAAAGGTGCTACATGCTGATCTTCTTAACGACCGGAATGACAGCGAGGACAATACCATGCACGCTTCAACCGAGGAAGATGAATATACTATTGATGAGAATGGTACTGGACTATCGACCCCTCAGTTTAATAGCTTCAATTTCACCCACTTTGCCAACAGTGCGCAACAGCAATCTCAGGCAGAAGTATACACTTGCGACATTTGCTATCAGCGATTTTCATTTAGAGACAGCTTGAGAAAGCATAAGCGTGCCAAACATGGTAGCGTAAATCCCATTGCGGGTAGTAGCTCTGAAACTCAATCAACACCTGTTAGCGAAGGCTCCAGGTCCAGTTGCACAATCTGTAAGATTACTTTTTCAGACAAAAAGTCGTATTATCGTCATAGGAAGAATGTGCATAAAACCTCGACACAGATGTGTAAAATATGCGGCAAACCATTGAACTCTACGTTAGAGTTGTATGAACATCTGAAAGCTGCTCACGCGAGAGAGTTACTAGGCTATAACGCTAACCAAGGTTCCAGTAAGTCTCAAGACATGACACAAGAATTAGAAATTGAATATGATGGCGATCAGGATACTGTGGACCCCAACGTGGACTACCAAGCGCGTTACCCGTGTGACACTTGCGGCAAACAGTTCGTTGGATTACTGGCTTTACAAAATCACCAATGTATAAGTCCACCCACCCAGCCGCAAACGTTTGATTGCGAAATTTGCCACAAGAGCTATACATCTATTGCTGCGCTAAAGAGTCACCGCGGTTGGCACTTACGATCGCCAGACGGTAAAGCGGCTGCCAATAATTCCGGACTATGGATGCCCCAGCACAAAGTGACAAGTAAGGTCAGTAAACATGAGGTAGTTGACCAAGCTAAACTGCCCCGTATGACTCAATCTGCTCCAGCTACGAGCGTTATTGCCAAGAGGAGATTGCCTCCAGAAGTTGAAGTTACTGTCGTAAATCCGAACAAAAAGATGCGTTCTGACGATTCGGTTGAGATGGATCAACATAATAATACGTCGTCAAGTGGCGTGGACGATAGATATTGTACGATTTGTGATAAGGAGTTCACTAAACGAGCTGCTTATCAGCGCCATATGGATGAGGTGCATCAGCCTAATTCCGTATTTTGCCCAGTTTGTGACAAAAGTTTTACACGTAAATCAACTTTACTCGTGCACATGAAAAAACATTACGAGGGTGGCGAAGGAAGCTCATCTACAGTCGGCCAAGCAGATGATGAGGCTCTTGCTTGTGACCTCTGTGGAGCTCAGTACGACAATGCACAAGCTTTGAGAGCTCACCGTATAAGGCACCACGGAGAGGAGGAGTCTGATCACGACTCTGAGGAAGATGGCAGTGGCGGCAATGCCACCCAGCCGGGAGAATTCACTTGCGCCCAGTGCGGTGACGGCGTAGCCACTCCTCGTGATTTGATCGCCCACCGCACAATGCATGCTACTCCCACCAAGTATTTCTGTAACATTTGCAAAGTCTACTTCGCGAGAGCTCTAGATTTGTCTTCCCACACAAGAGCAAGGCATAGTGAGGGCGAAAAGAGTGCCACTTACCCTTGTGCGATGTGCGACCGATTCTATATGAATAAGAAGAGTTTGCAGCGGCACATTGAAATGGCTCATTGATCTTTCCCTCACACGTAAGTTACTCTCCAAGCCCTATATTTACGATTTCAATGTGAGTTGCAAACTTTCTATTTGTAGAACTTTCGGCTTGACCGATTGCTAAAATACAAGTTCCATTGTAGTGGGATTTATTAGACTTATAAATAATATTGTGTTGGTCTTAATAAGATATTATTTAATATTATTTTGTCATTCCTTTATTGTACTTTTGTGGATTTGCTATCGATATAAAACACGTCTTTATTTTCTTGGTTTAATGCTTGTCATTTTAAGTATTTGCTCATTTTAATGTTATTTATTACTATAGTGCTACTTTTAATTTAATGTCCTTTGTGATGAGGACTGTTACCTCGGTAACAGTTGTGTGGGATTCACATTTGGGCCCCTTAGACATTTAGGTATTTTTTATAATTACAAAAATAATTGTAATTTTAATTACTCGTAAATTAGGCGAAGTGATTTATGCATTTCTTTGTATTTTAATATTGGAATCATGGGCCAAAATTTTAATGATGTAGTCAAATGAAAATCAGTCAACCGGGTGTTAACTTTTATCTATAAGTTATCAGTTGTATTTTCAAAATTGTGAAGTATATTGAAATCGATATTTTTATGGGAATAGTGTGAAATTGGACAATTTAATAATTTACTGTTACTGATTAGTTTTAAATACATAATTGTAAATAATATAATAGGGTATTTTTATGATTTGAGGGCGAAATGAGTTATTATTTGGACTTCTACACGAAACAATCGTCTAAGTTTTAGTAAAATGTACTGATTATTTTAATAATTTCAAATGTATAATTTCTACAAAGTGCTTACCACTAAAGGGCATATCTCCTCATCTATGGTTAAAGGTTTACAATACACCTAAAATATGTAAAACATACTTTTAGGGATTAAGTATTATGGCCTACTGTCTTGAGGTTAAGATTCCTTGTACATTAAGAGTTCGACTTCTTATTGTAGGATAATTTACTGTACAAACCTTTGTACTTTTGCATGTATTCTAACAGTTCTGTTATTCCTATACCCACCATTTACAACGTATAAAAACGTAGTAGGTGCCAAATATTCATCTATCTATAAATGCTATTTTAGGGAAAATAAAATGTATATTTATCGTAATATTAACATTGTACAAATGTATATTTGCACAGTTGAATTCAAATGCTCCTGCTTTGAAACAAAAAAGAACATTAATGTATTACATAGTCTGCCTTTAGTCGACATTTACTCTGTAGTGTAACAAAGTTCTTTACACTATTAATTGAAAATATTTATGAAGCTTTGAGGCCATTTTCGTTATTTATTTTCGAATAATACGGCGCTTCATCTTTTTTATGGTTTGTTTTTAGTTGACTAATGGCATAAGGCGAAAAACAGAACGGTAGCAATTATTTCCGGCTCAATGTTGCCGTTAAAACATAGTTTCTACTCATTAATTGTCAAGAGTTTGACAGACAACAATAGAAACTGCTAAACGGCAATACTGAATCGGAAAGACAATATCTTTAAATAGTTTGCTCTGATGACTGAGGAGCAGAAGGTAAATAATAAACAAATAAATAAATAAATAAATATTAGACAACATCACATACGTTGCTCTGATCCCATAGTAGCTAAAGCACTTGTGTTATGGAAATCGGAAATAACGACGGTACCACAAACATTCGGATCCGAGACAATATATTGAAAAGTTAGTTTCTACACTGACCCGGCCGGGAATCGAATCTGGGACCTCAGAGATCGCGAACCTATAAAAATTGGTGTGCTAGCCACTCGACCACGGAGGCCGTCAAAAGAAGAGTCTTAGGCATGTAACGCATTGGACAGCAGATGTCCTAGCCAAAGAGAGGCTAAATGTCTGTTCTAGCCATATTTAGCAGAATGTATTGTATGTATCACAAATTCAAAGTACACTTTGCAAATGTACTTAGTAGTTTGTAGTTCTACTATACTTAGTCGAACAGTATCTACTGTTAAGGTTCTTCTAGGTTTAACTACTAGCTTAGTACTGGAATTACTAACTACTACTCTACAATTACGTCTGTTTTACTTTTGCAAAATGTAGTTTGAACCTAACACTGCTCCAGCCTTATTTTATTATGTTAAAATTTTCCTCATTTTCAGTTGCAGCTCCTTACAATTAACTTACTATTTATTTGATCTATAATCTTCGAGCCCGCAACCGTAAATGTGGAAATATCCTTAGTCATAATATTTAAAATTCTAATAATTTCTACCTTTTAGATAATACGTAATTTACTATTAAGGTTACAGTTACAGTGCTAACGTTCATGCAATTTTTTTTCTATACTTTTGTTTTTTTAGGAATAACTGACTGTATCCTAAAATATAATATTGTCAATTCTCATTATAAATAGTTGTACGATGAGGTGTTTTGTGTTCGTTCACACGTGCTGATATTTTGTCAGGCTGTTTTAACGTACCTAATACGAGCAGCATGTAGTTAATATACGCGACTGGTAGTGATTCTTATACTGACAACCTTAAGTACCGGTGATACGCGCCCAGGTCCTTTATTCTGCTGCGTGCTGCACGTTTGCGAAGAAGGTAATGACAATAAATCGCTGTGTGGAAGAACTCGTGAGCAGTAGACATGGTTCATAAAAGCTCATCACTGTCAACGATTTATATCTTTACTGCCAATGATTTTAACTGTAGCTATATTTGTTTTTAATTTTATGATGGCTAGCATTTCTCCTGTTTTTAGTTAATCAATTTTGCCTTTTAGTGTGGGTTTGAAGTGTGATTTTTATGAACCGTGTTGTTTTTCTTTGTATCTTTGCAGATATTGTCCATAGATGGGGTTTACTTTTGTCATCTTTGTGGTTTGATGAATAAAATAAAGTGACTTAATAATAGATGTTTGTTTTTTTTAACTCTCACCCATGTACCCATCCTAGTATTGAACATTATTGATTTTTTTTTATATACTTATTTTCAATATATGTATGTATATATAATAGATATAATGGGTTAAGTACAAAGATAATAAAATTTGAATCTGAATTAATTTCACCGATTTTAAGTCACATTTCACATAAGTATAGAATAAGGGGTATTTCCATCTAAACTAAAAACAACCATTATTAAACCAATTCATATAAAAGACGAACCTAATAATATGAAAATCTATAGACCTGTAGCGTTAACACCTGTATTCTCAAAGGTTATTGAAAAGGTAATTTCTAAAAGTATTTATGACTACTTTGAAACAAATAATATATTTTGTAAGGAACAAAAAGGATTTCGTAAGAATAAATCTCGCAATATATGAATTTTTTAACATTATTTACAGAAGAATGGACAAAAGAAAACCTGTAATGGCACTGTACATGGACATGTCAAAAGCTTTTTTGACTATGTGGATCATGATATATTAATGCAAAAATTAGGAATTTGTGGTATACGCGGAAACACTCAAAACTTATTAAAATCATATCTGAGTGACAGAACACAAATAACACAAATTAGTCGAATTTCTTTCAACTACAAAAACAGAAATCATTTACGAATCTTCTAGACTAGTAAAATATAGGGTTCCACAAGGTAGTGTTCTATGTCCATTGCTGTTTATTATTTATATTAATGACATGCCTAAATCAATTGCAAATCACATAACTATTCGCTAATGACTACTATTTTATTTGAAAATGAAACTGAAATAAAAGAATCCCTAATAAATGTAATGACATGGCATAAATTTAATAATTTATTAATAAATCTTGACAAAACGACAATTATGAATTTCAAGCAAAGGGGCAATAAATGTTTGATAAACAAAGTAACTTATAACTCTCGTGTTATCGGCGAAACATCGGGAACCACATTCCTTGGATTTCACATTGATAGGAAAATGCAATGGGAAGAACAACTTCAAATAATATGTAACAAGCTATCGAAACAATCATACGCTCTCCTTAAATTAGACAATTTTAAAAGGTGTAAAGTTTTTAAAGGTGGTAAAAAAAAACGCTTTACTTGTAGTTTACCACAGCTATGTAGCTGCAACACTCAGATATGGTATCTTATTTTGGGGTTAATAGTAGCAACATAATCGAAGTTTTTCGAACTCAAAAGAGGTGTATAAGGGCAATCTGTGGACTGAAGCAGAAACTATTTTCGAGAACTAAAAATGTTGACCTTGCCTTCATTGTATATCTATTATACAGCGTTATTTTTGCGACGACACCACCCTTAACTTTTTCCTATAGTTACAAGAGCACGACGTCCTAACCAACTACGCAAAATAAATTGTAAAACGTCACTATTTGAGAAGAGTATAATTGCAATGGCACTAAAAATCTATAATAAATTGCGAGAAATCAACGATTTTCATCACTTGAAGAGTGAAAAATATGTCTTAGATATTGTCACGGAGGAGTGGCATAAATGTTTTCAAAATTAGTTCATTCGTATGAAAAAGTGCATTAACGCTAACTGAGAATATTTTGAGAAACTGTAAATTCGTTTCTGACCATTTATAGTATTTTTTTTCTTATTCATTCCGGAAACCTATAGTGCGCCACATGTACTTGTTTCATATTTAAAAATATCTTTTCACAATTATTACATATAAAGAATAAAGTTGGGTATACCAAAACGAACTCGGGACTACTCGTTTGCTACCAGAGATGTTATTGAATAAGCCGCACGCACAGCCGTCATCTGCGTTAAATACATTTGTAGTTACATTGACCTCTCTTTTGGCGCGAAGTGCGCCACGTACCTATATTTTCCTTGTACTTAGTTATCATATTCAACGGTCACAGGGAAACTAGCGTTTCTTCAAACTCGGAATAAGTATAAGTCGGTCATTTGAAGCCATTTTGAAGCTTTGCTGTTACTCTGCTCTTTGGTTATGACCATAGACAGTAAGACTAAATGTGTATGCAAAAGACGTCATTCGTATCATTTTGTTAATGCTATATTTCAATAATATCTATCTTTTTAGCACATTGTTACAGCGCTCTGAGCTGTCACAAGGTCTATAATTGAGGGTATCAGCGCAAAAGTGGTAGGGGAACGTGGGGTATTGGGAGCCGCGGGTAATGTGAGCGGTGTTAAACTGGACTTTCCCAATGCTCGTATTTGTGCAAACGGCACTCCTATATCTTCGTTAACGTTCGACAAGATTCGAGTCCAGTGGATGCCCCCGTAGAACCCCGCGTTTAGTCGTATGAGAGGGTTGTGTGTTTTTCGCTACGCACTTATAAAATTTGCTAAATTTCATCATCCCAGGTAGGCATTAAAATGCATAGATACTACATTGTGTTTACACTAGCTATGTCACCATATCTATCAAATTTTAGAAGTTATGCTTGAAATCACAATAAAAACAGAAATGTTTTTACTGTTTTATTCCTTTTTCAATTCGATGTTACGCGGGTAATGAGAGCTATTTGGCTCTCCTTACCCCATTGCAATATTCACTGGATATTTCTTTAACACTTTCTTGTTTATTTTCATTACTTTTTAACTTATATATATATTTTATTACATTAATTTTTTTTCAGACTGATTATATATAATGGCTCCCATTTGACATACGGGATTCTTACCGGCTCCCATTTCACGAAATGTGGGGTAATGAGAGCGAATGACATGTTTTAGTTTTTTCTTTTTTAACCAAATATTTTATTTTAGTTTCACATTTTTTCTGTGATTATCTAGTACCCAGATATGTGAAGCGTACGTTCATAACTAATAAAAGTTTAAAATTACCTAAATTATGACTTTTATTGTCAATTTTCCTTAGTAGGCTCCCATTCCCCCACGTTCCCCTACACCACATTTTTTTTGCAATATTACGTTAAATGTTGCTAAAGTACATATTATTGTTTTTATGATGTTTAACATAAATTTATTATTTTATATAGTATTTTAATATAATTAATATTAAACTGTTAAAATTATTTACACACGAAAATGGCATCCAAATATAAATAATTACGTATGTTGATGAAAAAAAAATAATGTTACACCACTTTTGCGCTGATTGCCTCAATTTAGCATTCATTTATTTTACCTGGTTGCTAATAAGAACATTCATGGTAGGTATAGGTAGGTAAGCTTTAGGCTTTTTGGTGAAGTAGACTATGGTTAGTTAAGAGGGCTGACAGGTGATATTTATACAATATGTAGAAATGATTAATAAGTACTCGTATAATTAGCATAGTGATAATCGGATAATTTTACAAACTATAAAGCTATTCTAGATCTGTAAAGACCTAGAATAGCATCATCCTAAGTCTGTGATATAGCACTTCTTTAATCATTATTTGTTGAATGTTTTTTTTTCACATTTGGTGGGCTCGATTTCCAGGTATATAAGTAGATAGGTAGTATATTGTAAGTAAAAGATAAACTGCACATGATAGATTGCACAAAACATTTTAATATAAACTTAAAAAGTCGTACAACAATATGAAAAATTATTATTGACTAATTATATTCGCGGACATGGAGAACCGCTTTTACTATATTATTATGCAAATATTATATTATCTTTAACACTTCCATCGAATATATCTTACAAAAGGAAAAAAATAAAAAGTATCTTTATAATAATAAAAAATCTCATTACACTAATTTATTTAAACTTACATCATAGATTTTATCTACAAAATACTGTAGCAGTTTGGCCAGTTTTTCAATCGAGGACCACAAATATACACATTACATAATTAATCAATAGGGTATTCATAAAGTACAGGTAATGAAATCATACAACTAGACTTAATTCTAAATCAAAATACAAAAATAGTAAAAAATAGTTGCACATTTCCATATTTGCAACTTGTCATTGTTGTGCATCGAATACTAGTTAACAGTGACTGTCCACACGAGAGCCACAAGCCAGGCGCCTGCGCAGCGCACAGTGCTTTACAAAGGACAACAACAAGCTGCGTCTACCCGCATACCGCTACCCACTACCTAGGAACACTACAATTTCCTCCATTGAAAAACTGAGTCCAATCTGCTAAGTGAAATATAAAAAAGATAAATAACACATAGTATTTTCCATGAATTTGCATGCACCCGTTATTTTATGAATTGAGAAATATTTTTTCTATCTTTTATTCATATTCATGTCTTTTATAACAATATTATATAAAGTATACAATACAGACTAAGACCGGCCTCCGCGATGCAGTTGGCCAGTAATGTACACAAGGACCTAATATCTTCTTAAAAAAATACTGTTAGATTGAAAGTAGCTAATCCTATTAATATATCATTATGTATATTATAAGGGTACAATTACAATCGTACGAGTGATGATTACACTAGGTGAGATCTCCGACGCCTTCGGGCGGCCCGCCGCGCCGTCCGACGCCGTCCGAACGGATATGCAAACTTTTATTACATACGAGTACACAGTAATACATACCAGTACACTATAGTAAGTATGAATTCAATAAGTATTAAAAATACGTAATTTCTCTATTGGCCTTTCGTTCCCACGTGAAAAATTAGATAATTATCGCGTACGAATATATATTATGTATTAATATTTAAATATCAGTATATTTCTTAGATCGGAGGACGTATATGTATACAGGCTCGCTCTAGAAGGTACGTCGTCGTAAGCGCACGCGGCCTCTCGGCCTCTCGTTCCCTTACACCCTACGAATATATCGATACCGAACGAAGACATCAAAAACGACTCGGCATTATAATTATACGAAAATAAATAGCCGGCGAGTCGCGCGGCCGATTATTGCTCCTATCGATAAATTTACACATCGACGTAACGAACGAGAATACAAAAAGTTATGGAAAATCGTACGGATATCACAAGCGGCGGGCGGCGCGGGACGCCCCCGCGGAAAATAAAAAAATAAATCGCGGCGCGCGTCTCTCTCGTAAAAAAGTAAAGACTCTATGAGCGGGTCGCGCGGGGCGGCTAGCGCGCGGGCGCGGCTCAGTTGGCGAGGAGCAGGTGCGCGGGCGCTGGCGGGTACGGGGGCGCAGAGGCAGGAGCGGGCTCGCGTCGACCTACAAAGTATGCGGCTGGGTCGGCAGCTGGAGACAACGCTCGCGACGCCAGCTGCTGCTGCACTGCACGCTGCTTTATGTAGTTACTGAACTCGGTGGGAGACATGCGGTTGGCGCGCTTGCTGCTCGTCTTCAGCTTGGTGCTGCCGAATTTGGTTTGCGCGAATGTGGCAGTGGTAAATGTAAGCGGCTGTGCGCGGAATGGCGGCGCGGGGGAAAAGGCGGCAGGCGCGGGCGGCGACGGGGCGGCTGCAGGCTCCACCGGCCGGAAGCACTGGGCCTCAGGATTGAACGCGCGGGTCACCTACAAAGCAAATAACAACTTATTACACATAGTAAATATGACGATTTTGACGACTACAAATTTGATCAATTTCAAAGACTTAGACATGTGCCGATCTTAACTGAAGACGATTTGTGGTTAAATTCTGAAAGGCTTGCTTTACTTACTTCTCGGTCAGTCCGCTCATCGGCGGCACGCTCATCGCTGCTGAAGAGCACCTTCACCGCTCCTTTCTCCCCGATGCGGTATGATACTTCACCTACAATACAAAAACAGTGCTTTATAGTCACAAACAATAAAAAGATCGTAGTAGTTTACAGGTATAGAATTTAAGGGTCACGTTCAGTATCGACCTTGTCAGTCAGTCACGTCAGATTGCAATCATCGGAAAACACTAAAGAATGTTTTACTTTTATCTCTAAAATTTTTGAGCGTGTTCGAATTATCTTTATACTCAAATTACAATCTTATTGTAACGACAAGTTGGTCTTACCTGGATCAACCCATACAGCGAGATCCCTTGGTAGGTGTTCCAACACATCTCGGACAGGAACGCCTGACTCCCGCGCCGCGCGCTCCAGAACAGGATCCAAAGGACCCCCGGTCTTGAGGCAGCGGAAAGCCGAACCGCGGCATGGTCGGTCCGGGTACCAATGCCCCCGGAACTTGTCTTTCAAGGCCTTCTCCAACTCCTCACCGAAAATGTTCACTCGCCGCCTCGGCAGCTTGTTGTACAGGTACGATATGACGAAGTTTAGGGCCACTTGCACTTCAATATGCATTTTGGTATCACTGTGGACAAAAGAAAAAATATTACCTACAATTTCCTTGGCAAATACATATGTAATGCTCTGGTTTGGGCTGGTTGTATAAAAATTCATGGCACTTTCTTGTTGGCTACAAAGGGAATTGACGCGACCTATTTAATTTTAAAACAAAAGAAGCCAACTTTTCGGTAGGTACTTGGCACTCCTAGGAGCATTACTAACTTTCTTTTTACAACGTTTTTACTTGCTATACTCTGTTGGCAAACTTAACAATGTGATGTATATATATATATATATGCACACACACACACATAAGTATATATATACACATATATATAAGTGTATCTACATAGTTACAGATACCTTCCTTTATTTACACGTAAGTTAAGCGAGACCATGACCATAAAACAATAATAAATTCCTGCCATTACATTGCAAATTAAATAACTAGCTAGCTATTACAGAAATTGTTTCCGACGTTACTTATTGCGTTTTGTGCTGAAAATAGTTGAAAATCAATTTAGTTTCTTAGTAATCGCGACGAATCGATGAAATTGAATCGATATCGACGTGTTTCTAGGAATAGGTTGTCGCATGGCGATGTGCAAATTGAATATTTAAATTGTGATTACTTCGTCGGAAGTTTCCTTTTTCCAATCGAGCCTTTTAAATATTCATAGGCAACCCCTTGGATCGTATAATGTAGGCCGTTGGTAGAGCCACATCGTTGACGAGATAAATGTTTAATATGTAGGTAATTGTAAATAAAATCGCTTTGCAAGCGTGCACGTTAACATTATCGACGAATTTTTAACATAGTGTATATGCACAAAATGCACAAGGTAAACAACTGGGCATAGTTTTTATTTTTGAAAACAAAACACAGTCTTAAGTCCTTGGCCAAAGTGATTTTGACACGCTACCGACTTTTAAACCGACTTCAAAAAAAGGAGGAGGTTCTCAATGCGATTATTATTTATTTTATTATTATTTTCAACGGTAAGGGTTCTGGTGAAACTATATGCATGTAGGACTTGTCAATTGTAGGTATGTATGTATGGGTTTTTGGGATACAAGGCACTGACTGGTGCTGAAACTGTTATGGGTAGGTGTGTCGTTTCCACCAGGCGCACGACTTCCTCTTCCTGTCAATAGATTGATGTCATAAAAAAATAATTAAAATTATTTTGGTAAGAATGCAAATGCAAGGTATCAAAAGTCAGTGATATCTTTTCTAAAGACAATTGATTATTTGTTATAAATGTTGTAAACCTAATAGGATCCATTTTTTAGAAAATAAACTTAAGTAAGTCATACAATACTATAAATAATCACTTCTGCAGTAGGTTCTTGTTGTTGTCATTTGACCATAAAGAAAGAAAGAAGAAAGAAAACTGTTTATTGCTACAGACACGCATATAAACAAAAAAAAACAGAAATTAATATACAACAAATTAAAAAGAATATTATAACAATTTACATGATATAAGCAGTAATTTGAAATCATGCGTGTTGCGGCTTTACAATCTGCGAGTAATATATATCTGTAGGTTTAACATCAACATTTTGTTTTTTAATTGCGAAAATTCCACACATTGCTGGTATATGTGAGGCGCACTTTAAGTTTCCGGAATTAATAAGAAAAAATTACTATAAATGGTCAGAAATGAATTTATTGTTTTTCAAAATATTCTCAGTTAGCGTTAATGGACTTTTTCATACGATTGAACATATTTATGCCACTCCTCCGTGACCATCTTTGAAACATATTTTTCATACTCTTCGACAGCTTCTTCAGGTGATGAAAATCGTTGACCGCGTAACTGGTTCTTAATTTTTGGAAATAAATAAAAGACACAAGGTGCAATGTCGGGATTGTACGCGGGATGGCTCATAAGGTCAACGTTGTTCACCTTCAAAAATTCATTTGACTTTCTGGCCGTGTGAGAACTGGCATTATCGTGGTGCAAGATGATACAGCGTTTACGGTTATTTTTACGGAGTTTGTCAATAATTTCCGGCAAACAAATGGTCGTGTACCAATCACTATTCACGGCACAACGATTCTCCAAAGCAACAGCAGCCACGTGTCCAGTTTAATTAAAAAAAGAAGCAGTCATCCGCTTAGAGGCACTTCGCGCGCTCGCCACTTTGGTTGGTTTCGGCTCATCTCGAAAGAACTATACGCTCGATTGCTGCTTTGTTTTGGGATCGTAACTATAAATCCACGTTTCATCACCTGTTACTATGTCCCATATCAAATTTGACGCCCCTTCGTTGAATCTGGTAAGCATGGCATTGCACCAAGTGACGCGATCCGTTTTTTGAGCCTCAGTCAAATTGTGTAGATCCACCGAGAGCACAGCTTTTTCACACCCAAATGTTTGTATAGTATTGATTGTATTTAACTCATGCCTATGCCTAAAGATGCCCGAATCTCATGGTATGTCATATGCCTGTCTGTTTTGATCATATGGCGCACAGAATCGATGATTTTGTTATTCACAGCAGTGGACGGGCGGCCATCACGAAATTCGGCACTGAGATTCACAAGGCCGCGTTTGAATTCTGCAAACCAACTATAAATAGTAGTCTTGAATGGTGTTTCGTCGCCAAAAGCAGTTTGAAGCCGAGGGAATCTCCGCTGAACTGTTAAGTTATACTTAAAATCGTAGAAAATCAAACTCGTAGAAAACTTTCACGAGTTAATCCATGGTGATGTACAAATCCAACGTATACAACCAATTTCTAAAATGACATCACAATGTAAAAACAAGTGACAGAGAAACTGTATTCTACAGCCAAAAAGTTCCATTTTCAAATGTTGTAATTACTTTTTAAATATTGTTTATGTAAGTGGCCAGTTCCGGAAACTTATAATGCGCCCTATGTAGTAAGTATAAAAATTGGTATAAGAACCATTCAAATCTACTACAAATAATGTGTCATATAATAGTCCTCTTAAACGCCTATGCAGACAGTACAATGTCTTATCTAAAGATCTCGATGTATTCCACCAGAGCACTAACACATTCGTAAAAATTATAAAGAACCATGACTTTGCCGTATCACGCGAACACCTCACAGAGTGAAATATTTTCTTTTAAACTATATCATTGTTTATAAGACTTAGATAGCCATATATAAATTTTAAATGTTATTTCAATGTTGTGCGCGGTTGTTATTGAGATATACATAAATTTGTTTGTTTTTGTTATAGTGTTATGGTTTTAGGTGTATTGTATAATTTGTATCTTGTAACTGTGCCAAAATAAATAAATAAATAAATAAATAAATACGTAATTTTCATATTTTTATGAGAATACATTTTATGTCGTAAGTATACAAGTTTCAATTCTTGTATGTATGTATTTAGATGTCATATATGTATGTTTTCAGATCAATTAAAATACATTCATGTATTGAAAATAAATAAATTGAAGTTGAAAACTGTCAAACAGCGACTGCCATATTGATTTCGTAAATGGGTTAGCTTATCTGCCATCTTCATTGTTTGTTCTATTTTGTTAAGTTAGGTACTATTGTTCAATATGTATTTTTTTTTAATATGCGAGATGTTAACAAATTCAGGCCCAAATTTAAGATGAAATATTATTAATGATCAGAAGCTATTTGTCCAATAACTTTTCTAAATATTGATAAGAAGTTATAGATTCATATAATGCCACGTAAAAGTTGTTACAACTTTTAGTGCGCGTCGAAAACGTTAAGAAAAATAATACCTACGAATTTAAGCAGGTGTATAGATCAATACCTAACGTGCCCATCAACGGATAAAGTTTTTGAAAATAGCTGAGAAGAATATATGAAAACCTGTCAATATTTCATTTAGAAAGATCCACAATATAAAATACAAACAACGCCCGCCCATATTGGAAAAATACGACAGCTGTCTATAAAAATGTTTTTCTTCTAAGCATGGCCCTAGGCCCACGGCTACGCCAGTGAAGCCGCGAGAATATTTTGCTTTATAACTTTTGCAGAAATTTCAAGTCTTTTGAAATTTATAAGCGGAAATAGACTGAACAAACATCATTAGATATGCCGTTTATTCAAAATATTTCTTCATAAGTCGTCAATCAAGAGATACACATTGTATATTATTATGTTCAAACACTACAAGTAAGCCTTCTAAAACATAATCAATATAGTAAACACTAAATGAATAATGTAGTAAGTACGTCAAAGATCAAGTAGGTTGATTGTGAGCGTTATGTTGATTGTGAGTAGGTAAGGTACATAATATGCCTTTTAATTGTTTCTATTTTGTTTCGTTTGTCTAGGTATTATTAGTCTCTTTTTTGTATCTGTTGTGTTGTGGCGTTGCAATAAATGTTTTTTCTATTATATTCTAATATATTTATTCATACATTAAGCTACTACTTCTATTAGACCCTTCTGACCGAGATTCACAAAATAATGGCTATAGTTTGGCGGACATCCAATGTTAAAGAACCAGTTCCACAAAATATAATACCTCGTATTGTGTCTCAGACGAAAAACTTGGACATATTTATTCAAGTATAACGACTAATACGACGTATAACTTTTGTCCTTATCTTTGTGTAGTCACATTTTCAACATAAAAATAAGAACTTATATTAAATATAAGTTCTTCTTTTCTTCAGTAGGGCTAGCCTTACAGTACGCGACTTGTACGAGAGCGACATAAAGCACGAGATCTCTTTGCGAGAATAGCAGTATCTGTTCTTATGTATAAGTTCTTAGAGATAAAACATGTTGTACATATATAGTAGTCTTTGTACTGTCACGTACATTAATATATTGTATAATAATTGTGATATGTAATAGATGAGTTTGGGTGTAAATTATGATTGCCTTTATTTGTCTTCATGGCACCCGTGATGTAGGGTTTACCTTGTCAACTTATGTCTCAGTGTGATGGGCGCAGTGACAGTACCCCTCAGAGCATACGTGCAATTAAATACATGTTAATATATGTGGCGCGCAAATGACACGCGAATACGTCTTTCGCAGACAGGC